GGGAAATTAACGTCTCCTACCCCAACTCTGCAGGAGACGGGACCTCCATTTATTCGGCCGGTTCAGTTTCTTTCTGCGAAGATTTGACTGAATCCCAAAATAATAAACTTGTTTTGTCTTTAAAACACAATGGAAGTTGTTTTTTCTAATTTCAAACGTTCGAGGTGGCATTCTCAAAAGAATCACATAGTTCCTGCTTATTCGATCGCTGCGATCTACACAGCCTTGGCGAATTGGTATCTAGAGTGTAATCGGTTAGGAATCGGTACTGAATATCACTTCTACTTACACTTTTCACACGATATCAAAGAAGGTAAAGAAAATCTAAAAACTCATCAACTACGATTGTTACCAAATTCCTTGACGGATAAGATATAAAAAAAAGGAAATTATGGTAGTCGTCTGTAATTAATTTTGAACTAATTCGTCTTTATATCTTGGTAGTCTACTTGTTGTTTTTTACGGCAAAGAATATCAGAGTGATCTTACAGTTTAGATTTCATCCACAATTAATTTTTAACTTAAATCGGTAAAATCTAAAATGTGCTGAATTCGCAAGACTCAGTTGTGTCTTGCTAAAAATAAAAGACGTCTGTCTTTCGTTTGACACTAACCGTGTTAGAAGTAGTTCTGTTCATCTGTAGTTTGTAGGGATGTGCAACTGTTTGCTGGCGTGAGCGGAGAGCCTTTTGCGTCTTCAACGATTTACATTAAACTATGAAAATTAACTACGTACGTGATGGTAAAGTGAGGCTAATTAAACAAAATAATAAAAAGAAAACAACTGGCTTTTGTTGACTGTCCAAGCCGTACACGTGCTGAAACTTCACGCACACTGAGTTTCCGTTTCCGGTTAATGGAATTTACGTGACCCATAGTCAGCAGACGCGTGAGTTTTACCCCTTTAAACTCCCATGAGCGACCGAGACAGAATTTGTCCTTACAATTTCTATACAATATCAAGCAGAAAAGTAAAGGGGATTATCAGCTGACCCAATACCAAATTCTCTAAACTTACATCATAAGAGTTGTATGACATACAATAAGGAGAATTATTTTAGAGTGGAATCTAGTGTTACCACAGGTCGGCCAATTTGTTCCACTAGATCCTGCGAAATTTATAGGGCTCCAACACTGCATTCGTATTTGGTTATCTTCGTCCGAGATTGTTTTATGGAAAATTCCTCTGATAGCGCGTGCTTTTAGTAATAGATGGATTACTGCCGATAACAAGTCCAAAATAGCTTGAGTATCAGCACTTCCGACGGTAGGTAGTGGGGCTGAACGACCTTTAAAAGCCTGATACTTAGGTTAAGTCAGAGGAGATTAATTTCGTGACTAAATGATTGCTTGTATAGCGTGACATGTTTTGTGTTGAATGGGTTCATTCCAGGAGGAGCCAACCAAAGAGTTGTCACGAAATGGTTTTCGAGGTTCCAGAAACGAAATGGTTTCCAATGTACTTTCACGAATCAGGACATTTTTATTCTATGTGGTTGCGTGCGAATGAAACTAAGAACAAAATAGATTTCGTTAATTGTCAAAAGACGAAATGTTTTTTCAAAAAAAAAAAAANCAAGATGAACAGAGGTCTTTTTGAACTTGATCAATCGTCGGTAGCAAGCTTTACAAACTGACAACTCGCTGGTCGCTGAATAGCAGCTCACATTCACATCCAGACAGGAACTAATATTCGCCGGAAAATCAAAAGAACTTTTTCCAAAAACATAAATTTTTTCTTTTGTCTCAACTGAGGTGGAACAAATAAAACAACGATCATTTTGCAAAACCTTCTTCAGGGTTTACTCCAGCAAGAAACTACGATGAAATGCAGAAATTGAAAACGCGGGAATAACGATAGTGATTACAATCTCTTGTGCTCTGATTGGTCACATAATAAACAAAGTCAGCGATCTCATTGGTGCAAAGACAACAAAGGGAAAGGAATGTTGTTCGAATGTGAGCAGCCGTTTGTGGGGAGAAGCGTTGCGTGACGAGACTAAAAACGGCTGCGAAGGAGACTAAGCATTTGAGGGCAAGCCGGGGAAAAAGGAAAACTGGACAATGTCCCAAAACAAATTTTTTTTGTCTGTTAGTGAAAAAAAAATTAATTTATCCGATCAGAAGATTTTCGAGTATTACAAGAGTAGTGTGCACCGTACAAATATTGCTCTAGCAAATAAGGGTTCTTTTAACGGAAGTCTTAGAACTGAGCCATTAGGAAAGCCAAGAAAGGACTTCAGACTTCCCGTATGAGCCATAGAGGAAGACAAATAACTTCAATGTTTTCGTGTCTGTTTACACTTGAACCGAAGTTACCCAATCAGAAGATATGAGTGAGTTTCGCTTAGGTTTGGGACGTGACTAAAAAATGAAGCAAATCTATTTCCTTACGACTACAAAGTGATATGTTCCTAAAATTAATTGCTGATTGTAATAATTTGATTAGAATATGAGGTTCAACCAAAAACTGGTAGTTACGTAAGAAAGGGACTTCCCCCTTAAAAAACTTGAAAAGGATTAGTCTAATGCATAGTCACGTAGGACTAAAATACTTTTATAGCTACAGTAAGCATTTTATCGTTGTATTTAAAGACATTCTTTAGCGAACTTCAATGTGAATCGTGTTCTCCTTTTTTTTAAAAAGATTTCACCAATTGTGAATAAAAAAAATCTACAAAGGAGGCATTTCAGTTTCAATAAGTTAATTACCCTACTTTTCATCATCGAAAAACGTAAACATTGGCAAGAAATTAACTTACGGTTTTCATGTAGGGAATAATACACAACATTGCTCGTGCTCTACAACAGTTCCATTCCTGCTGACCTGATCACTTTTCCTTTTACGACTAATTTTTCTTTTTTTTTTTTTTTTCCTGATCTGACGGTCTAAAATCAGACTAACTTGGTAAGTTGAAGGATTTCGCTTTCTTCCAGTTTCGATCTCAGTTAGTACAGATCTTGGACCTTTACATCCTCCTTGACGGTTTCACTCGCGCGCAAAAATAATGAAAACAAGGCATGTATTTGTAGCAGTTGGAGAATTTCTTTATCTGATCGTCTTACAAAATCTAAGCTCCAACCAAAGATTTATTTATATTGGATCTGTCTTTACTTCAGCTCGAAATTCAACCAAATCTACATATACTAGCTCGTGAAAATTCATGAAACAATTCATCCTAAAATAAAATTTCACCTTGTATTTCGAAGTGTTTACGATGCGTTGTATCAGGGACTGCGATTACACCGTAACATGTCTCTTCTAAGTACAGTGTGCTTGTGGTTCTCAGTGGCAGAAAATGAACATTTTATTTCGAGGATTTCCACAGGAGAATCGCAAAAACCCCATAATACTCCATAACTACCATAGGTCTTACTTGATCCATTTCATACGAGTACTATAGGTGGATGTATGAGCAAATTGTTTGAGTGCACTCGTAAACTCACCTGAGTCCTGGCGAATTTCGAATGAAAAGTCTCCTCAAGGAAAAAGATTGTTGTAGCACAGGTGCGAACGTTTTTGAAATCTTCGGAGGATCGGAAATTTCTTGCATTGCGGGTGAACTCATTTTCTTCCTTTTAAGCGCCAGATCACAATTGAGCGAGTATGGCAATCGGTAATATGGACTAGAAACAAATGGATGCGTTGTAATCCGAAGATTTATTGAAATTTGATCCCTAAGTTAAAGACTTCGTAATCACGTGCGCGAAAGTCAGACACGTACGTAGGAAAATTAAATTGTCATGCGATGTGAAGTGACAGTTTGGGGATAGATTCTGTTTGAATAAAATTTCAGAGTAGAAAATAATATGGATGATTATCATGTAGTTTGCGATATACTGGGAAAATTTAAAGATGGCGTAGCTTCGATCTGTGGCATCGATAGATTGTCAGAAAGCTGTTATTCGTTCGCGATCTCACTGTGTCAAAATTTCTCGATTCGCCATGATTTTTTTTTTTAATTTTTTGTTTGGTTCTGTTGTCGCTGTTACATTTTTTCTCAGTTTCTTGAAAACGCCAAAAAAGATAACGGCGTTATTGCAGCAATTTTGATGAATGCACAAACATTTTTCAAGCAATTCCAATGTCATGCACTAAATAAGGATGTGACCTGCGAGAACCTCACGCCATCGCGTGAGAATAACCGTAACAATCGTCTATATCAGGAGAAATTAAAGATTTTTGGGGCACGTCACGTTATGTAAATGATACTGAAAACTTAAGTTGTAGACAACTATAAAGTACGTTGAAAAAATTATTGCGCCAGGCTGAAACCTTTTCTCACATAAACACTACGATTCGTTAACCCAAACCGAGACGACTAAAACTGTTGCCTTCGGTCCGCCATTGTGTCCGATATGTACCTTGCTAGGAGCCCATTGAGCCCCCAGTGACCTTGCCCAGCTGTTACGAAAGAGACTGGTCACAACTCAACTTCGTAGAGCTGTCTAGCAAAGGGGAAGGTTGTTGTCAGTGCCCGTGACCAAATAAACAAGGCCGGTAGTTTTATAGAATGAAACCTTACCCAAGAAATTTCCACACTTTCTCCTGTAAGTGATTCAACATGGACTTTCCTGATGGCTTGACTCCTCTTTGGTATTTCCTTTTCAACAACGCAGTGTAGTTTTCAGTCACCTGTTATCTCTTATTGATGCCGTTAATCCAAAACGGGTTGACACAGAAATTAAATGAAACGTCTGAAAAAAATATAAATATGCTAAGCTGCATGGACGGTCTTCTTTGTTCATAGGTGACACGTGCACGCAGCGATGAGATAATTAGATCCCTAAAAATTAATGCTGACAGAACCTCCTTGACGTCCATTGAAACTTTTAAGTTAACCAGATTTGGCTATATATATAATATATTTATAACATATTTATAATTATTTATAATTTGGGTTTTCATGAACTGAGTGGATATTGTAAACTGGCTTCCGTAAAGAGTTTCAAAGCTGACGTTTCGAGCGTTAACTAGGCCTTTATAGATTATGCTAGTAAAAGTAGCACATTATGCTAGTAGCATTGGTTTTTTTTTGGCGAAATTAAGCTAAAAAGTTATGCTCTTTTTTTCCAAATTATGTCCCCTTTTTCTAAAATTATGCTCTTTGAAAAAATTGCAAATGAATCCAAAAAATACATTTTTTAATTAGAGGCCAATGCCATTTTGTAATTTGTAGCCTTGCCTGATGAGAAGTACTGGGACCAACATGGCCTACAATGTGACTTCCGGTTCCGGTGCACCCCAGACCCGGGCTAGGGCTCAGACCGTTTCAGACGCCACTCAGTGATTCACAGTGAACTACAAATACTACTACTTAAAATAACACTTAAAAAATCGAATAACGTCACCAATTGCAAGTGCTTGGGAGTAGAGATGAACAATAATCAAATTGTAGCATCAAAAATGATCCGATAATTATCAAAATATGCGAATTATGCCAGCATTGCTACTTGGCAGAAATTATGCCAAAAATTATGCTAGCATAATCTATAAAGGCCTAGCGTTAACCCTTCGCTCTGACGTTCATAATTTTCTTAACACTCTGCTGGAGGCTGGAGACAGCAGGTTTCTAAAGACCATAAGAAAAACAGATAGAGCTTATTAATATAATCGCATGCCTAACCCGGCTCAAAAAATTACGGATCGAAACGTAATAACACAATGCAAATTTACAACAGATCCTAAAATAAAGTTGATATTGAATGATCACTGGTGGCCAAAAAGTTGCGTAAGGNGATAACATAATTTATGATAAACATACAGCTTTTAAATTGTCTTTCTGTATCCAACGAGGAAGTTAAAAACTTCCTTGTTGAATACATTTCGAATCGCCTCAATTTTTTGCCATCCTTCCTTTATACATAGACCTCATGATGGTCCATCATGTCTCATATGAGAAATCAAATCAGAAAAAAATTGTCGAAAATATACTTTTAGTTCGTCAGGAAAGCCCGTAGACGAATGGCTTTGCTGAAAACACGGGTTCTGATAAATTCTTTTTTTTAACTCGCTAGCTATACATCTCGCAGTGTTGATTTTCCATTCAAATTTAGCTTTTATCGCAAAATCTCGATTTCCACTTTTCATAGCAAGGAATTTAAGAAATGCTTCTTTCATCTTCCTCCAAAATCTCTTATTCGTGTTGGATATCCAGACTCACAGAGAGACCACTAACAAAGCAACATTCATCGTTTGAGCACATTTGAATACGTTATGCAAAATGTCACATATATAACTTACGTCCAATTATGAGATTTAATTTAGAATTAACGATGCAAAAACAAGAAAATACCTACTTGATTTTATACCTCTTCGATAATGCTGCCACTTTGTGAATAGATAGTTGAGTATTTATATCTCCTTTATATGAACACTGATGGAAAATTAGAAAAACAAAAGGAAGAAATGACTTACATCTTAAAATAGAACATGATTTAAGATAAATTCTGTATTTGCTGATTGGTTTCACTTGACGTGACGTCTTTCTATGGACACAAATACATTGTCTCATGAGGATTTCTGTCGATTGGTGTCAGAATGATTCATTCACGAAAACTTGCCTAAAACATCGAACTAAATCTTTATTTATCAATGCGGTTATTGACCAGACTGTACTTGGTTTTACACTTCATGTGATATGCTAATTCATGCGAAATATCGTATTTTCCAAACTTTTACCTCGTTCCCTTGGGAACAAGGTTGTTCCAGCTTGGCTCCATCTTATAATTGAAGAGCGGGTTGAACTTTTGAAAGAGTAGAATAGTTTTGAAAAAAATAATATGCCATCAAAATTCCTTAAGGTGTTTCTCAACGTCTCCTCAAAATAAAACGCAGTTACAGCCTCCTGTTTTGAATTTGTTTCTTCATGAAGTATGCTATCTAAACTGAAAGTCTGTAAAGACTGAAACAGCATTGCTGCGTCGGGGGGAGATATTTCAAGATGCACGTAATTTGGTATTTCTCCTGTATTTTCACCTCACAATTAAGCGGTCACCTTTGAGTAAGTCCCAACGGTCTGCTTGAATTATCTTCTGCCTTTATTGAGCAGTCACTTAAAGCGGAGCCCTGACTCAAACAAAACTAAAAATAATCTTTCAAGTAAAATTTTAATCCCTTTTCTCTTCCGAAATCAATATCAGATGTATTTTTCAGCGAGGTTTTGTACATTAAATGGTCAATTATGCGTAAAAATGGTGTTTTTTATTGTCTTTTCAAACACCCTTTTCTGAAGAACGTGTAGTAATTTTAAACATTTCATTCCTTAGGGGTGACCGCTTAATACACGTTTGACTGCATGTTTACAGGATCGAAAGAGCCGAAAACGCCTAGGAACTGGATCGAGGGCTGAGTTTATTGTTTACAATTTCCGCTTGAAGTTCCCATGTGGAGAGGTTTTCTTCCAATTGTTTACAGTTAACAGTACGTTCTTTAGAACACAACCGAAGCCCAGGAAACCCTTTAAACTTCCAGCGATGATAAAATGTACTGGCTAAATTTACTCTCATACTAATGACTATCAAGTTGTTTATTATGTTCGTCCCGTTGGTAGGAAATAAAACAGAGGCCTATATCGAAAGAGCATTTACTGCCTTATTTACTCTTCAAAACAACTGTTCAATCCACTATGATTTTATCGTGAAATCTAGAACGCGCGTAAATCGTGGAAAACAATATAATTCAGTTGCATGTGAGCTATGCAAAAACTGATTATTTTTTTGGTTGATGTGAAAATTATCCCCAGTTTTTTTTTTTTTGCGATGAAGTGGGAGAACGTGCTCAAAAAATATTTTGGCATGTTGTCCGACTGTGAATATTGCGGTTTTATCAAATCAAATCACTAAAAAATAGGGATCTACACGAAATTATGTGACTTGCATTTGAAAGTCCTTTTCTTGAAATTTTACTTATTAGAACTGGCCAAAGTTTTTTTAAATTAAAACTATTGAGATACAAATGTGTTCAGGAGCTACTGTAACTTAAAGATGAATTGACAATTAGGAGTTGTTAGCATAACAAAGTCCGATCTAAAGGCCGAAGAGAACATATTGCATGCAAAAATGTGCTGAAAGTAGAAACTGAAATTTTCTTTCAACTTACGTTCCTTATCTTAACAGACGGCTTCTATCAAACACAATGCCTTTTCCTCTCGACAGATTGTAGTTACGATGAATCGTTCATCGTTTTGTAGGGAACGGAACTCTTGGGCACGTACTCCAGATAAATGAATTTTTCATATTTGTTGGATCATCATACATGTGTAATATGAGATGACTCACACTTCGCGGATGACGTCACCGGATAGCAGCTCGATCAGGCAATATTCGAAAGCAATGGCTCTCTGTTATTGACGAGGCGTGAGGTCAATCATGGATATTGGCCAAAAACTTTTTCTGGATTTGTAAACAAGCTGAATCTTTAATTAAGGATTTTTTATGTGGAAATGTAAAGATTACAATAAAAATGCAAAATAGATCAACAAAACGAATTATAGTTTCTGCCGTTAGGGTCTGTCCTCGAGATCGGTGTACAAGGCGTTGGAAGAAAACAGCAAACAAACTGGTTCTTGGTCCGGCAATAGGCTATATTTGGCTGGTTGTTATTTAGGACAATCGCTATGAATTTGCTGGCGAAAGGAGGAGAACAGATAAACACGATGAAAAAGAAACTGCAGCAAAAAAACTTTGCTGGCGTAAAAAAAACTTATTCATGTTCGGCTACCTTCAAAACGTAATTAATTACAAAGTCAAATTGAAATATTTTGAAACAAGTTTGCACCTGTGGCCAGCGATTAATTTTGAATAATTGTCTAGTGTATTCGGTGATTGTCACGAGTTCAATATTTCCCAAGAACAATTGACATCTCCAACTTGAACTTCTTCAATTTGAATTTTCCATGCCGGCCAGCTGATAATCAATGATTCAAGCCTGAACTTCATACAAATCAGCTGGAGCCTTGATTAGCATCCTATCAATGAAATTTGAACCAGGTAAAGAGGAATTATTTGTCGCACCGTAAAAAAATGGAAATACAGATGCCTTAATATTTGCCTTTTATTATCATTTCATACTTGAGGCACTTAAACATGTTTCAGGGTAATAATAATTTTTTGACACAATAGACAATTTTAGAGAAAAATCGAGTTTCCAGATGGGATTTGAACCCACGACCCTCGACCGTGATCTAGTCGGATGCTCTAACCACTGAGCTACAGGAGACTCTAAGGTGAGCAATTTTATGACGGATTTACTTCAATGAATATACGCTGGTGAGGAGGTCTTCTCGTGAATATCAGTAAAGAAGTGAGGAAGTCTTCACGTGAATATCATATGGAATCTTTGTCGATAGACATTTGACTCAGCCTGCATCACAGCCTATGCATTATGTGGAGTATCGTTGATGACGATAACAGCCAAAAGTGTGGACAGACTTCTCGCCCTGTTGTTAAGGCTAAGATACAGACAAATTGTAACATTGAAGCGTACAAACATCATTGTGGCTAACTTTTGGATTGTATCTAGTTTCATTGCTTCAGTTGATGCTTCATATTAGATTACCGTATAATCAGTTGGTATGACATTATAATTATACCATCTTGCCTTGTTACTTCAGTCGCCTCGTATATAAAATTTTTTTCGGGGTCTCAGTCATCATGAGGTTCGAGTACAAGATCATGTCCAACAACAGCCAAGCCAACAAAATGCACTGAACATGTTGCAATACAAAAAGGCAGCTAGTGTACAGTGCGCTGTGGGTGCAGTTAGCCGTTAGTTGTTTGTTATGCTCCATACTTTATTGTGGCAATTGTAATAGCTGACAGTAAAACATATACATCACACTTAGTAGTATTAAGGGAAGTATCAGCTGTCTTAGTCCACTTTAACTCGACGTTAAACCCGTTCCTTTACTGCTGGAAGATTAGTGAAATAAGACAGGCAGTAAAGCAGACAATCAGACAAGCATTGTGCTGTCCATGGAGTTAGATCCTATTGGAGTTACATTCTTTTTTTATACTTTCAAATTTGTCTCTTGAAGTCACAACTATTATCAGAGCGCTCGACGTCTTTTTCAGTTGCGCGCAAACAGCTGATGAAAAGGCAATAAAGACACGTACTAACCACATCTTTTTAAAACAACGTTTCTAGCTATCAAACTTTATCATGAATACAACATAAGTGACGAAAAAGTATTCATGCATTATACTTTCTTGTTTCGGGTTACAATGAAATAAATGAAGTTCATATATTTTGAACTGCGGTAGTAGATACGTATGATGGACGTTTATTACGAATCAACTTAACGGCCTGCTCCCAGTTGGCTTGTTAGCTCAATTGGTACAGCGCTGCACTGATATCGCAGAGGTCAGTGGTTCGAATCCCGTACAGGCATGATTTTTTTTCAGGTCTGATTTTCGCTATTGCTTAAATAGCGCTATCTACTGCGAGGATCGTGCATCATACTTTCTTGTTTATTGTTTAAGCAATATGAAGACATCGGAAAAATGCGTCAGAGAATAGCTTGTTAGAAAGTTGTTCGAGCGGATAAGTGTTTTATAAAAATAGTTTTAAAAAATAATTTCAACTGAAAGGTTTTCCTTTTCTGAAAGCTTGCAATTGATGGTATGACGCCATATTGCCAAGCGTGCAGGTCAAGTTTCACTCACGAGTTTTTTTTTATTCTAAGAAAAATGTCCGTTGTCTCCAAGTTTTGTTTATTCTAGGCCACATATGAGCGATTAACTTCCCCTCAGTATTACTTCTTCTCCTTTTAGGCCGTCGTACAAGGCCTTTTTTTGGAGTTCTGAATTTAGTACAATACAGGGAAAATCATTTTATTTAATCATCGGCTCTAAAACACAAGTTATCTAAATATGCTTCAAAAAATGACCAGAGAATGGTTCCTCCATGCATATCGTATTATCAAGTAATAATGTAGTCGATGTCTGTTTGTTTGACAAGAGATTTACCTTTTAGCGCTAATTTGTACGTACTTAGATGAAACTTAACTCTGAGCTAATTGCGATAAGCAGCTAATTACGGCCCACATATAATTGGCTTGTAGTTCAGCTGTAGTCACTATCATTCTGAAAAAACAAACGGAGGATTTGAAGGAAAATTTCATGGGCTAGAACTCCTATACGAGAGTAGATAAATTGTTTCATCTTTTTAACAATAACTTATTGTAAGTTACTCGTCTGATTGATCTGTCAGCTATTTCCCTTAGGTGACTGAAACAACGCGATTGCTGGATAGTAAAACAAATGTAAATATAAATGTAAATATAGTTTATATCTGACCACTTGCAGCCTTGAGGCTGAATTACAGGTGCAGTGTAAGGTTGAGAACAGACGTGAGCATATCAGGCGCCTCTGGCAGCCGCTTCAGTCTATCGATCTCACCTTCCCACCCATCCCACGGCTGAATTACGGGTGCAGTTTAAGGTTGAGAACAGACGTCAGCA